GACGGGTTCATGTTGCTTAACCTCATTCGGTCTGCCGATAAAGTATTTTTTTGTACCAAGCCCATTATTTTTGTGTCTGTTAAGTAGGAGGTCTATGCAGGGACCAGAAAGCCCAATCAAAATTGCAGATGAAATTCGCTCTAGAAGGCTGATTACTGCCGATGTTACTGTATTGTTTTCTGGAAAAAAACACAACAAGTCCCTCAAACCATACCTCCAAATTTAATCTGTACAACAGGAGAGACGGAGAACTGGAAACGCAGAGCTATCCGGGGGAGGGACAGAGGGGTTTTTTACTGCTCACATAGAAGTAAAGTATTAAAACCTTCCAAAACTTAAGAATAAAAGTTGGACTGAGAGGGAGTTTCTGTCTATTCCAATGGGTGCACCTGGAAGTCGCCAATTGCCCCAGAAAACCTAACTTAGCTCCGATCAGATGTGCTCTATGTGAACACTCTTTCAGACGTTCATGGCTGCGATTGAGGAGCCCGATTTATGTGACAGGTGGATGCTCAACAGTGGTAAACTGTTCGGCTAGATGGCTTACATAGTAGGAGGCTAAAATCCTCCAGTACTTGCAGTACGGCTCCAAATTTGTGCAAAATGCCGACATTTGTCAAAGATTGATACTAACTCACTAATTAGCCTTGAGTAAAGTTGTAATATTGATAAACACGTAGAAAAACTCATGATTTGTAACTGTTTTAAAACCGAAACCTACCCTTTTTGAGTATAACTTTTAAAGAATGTGTAATTTTCTATCGAACAATTACAATAAATAATTTTTTCGTGCACATTTTCCATTTAATGTATTTGAATTTATAAAGGCGTCAAAATAAATGATAAAAAGGCATACTACACAAGTAGCCAGTTTCTACAGTAAATACATTTTGTCGGTGGTCAGAATGAAGCTCGTTTAAAAGACCGCATTACATCATGAATGAAATGACTTCAGAATAGACTACACGATAATCAGTATCACAACGTGAGTTAATGACGATTAGCGAAATAGTATCAATCTTTCGCTTATGTCGACATGTTGCGTGAACTTCGGCGATTACTGTATATCACTATATGCCAGTTGGCAGTTAGTGGATATAAAATGGTTATCCAGCAGTGGCTGATAGACTTCCGTCCGCATAGTTACATTACATTTCGGTATTTGCCTATAGACCGTGAATGCACTGATGTATTTAAATTCTTAAAACAAATTCTGAAAAAAGTACTAAACCGAAAGAGACTTAATTATATGAAAAGAATTCGATTTAAACCATCAACTAGGACGCAGATGTTCATTACCGCTTTGTCTTGCTGCTAAGAATATGCAGTGACTGCACGCGCTCCCGTGC